AACAACACAAGTCATTTACTTGTCCTCCGCCAACCTCACTAACTTTATCATAAGATCCAATTAAACACAGTCACCAAATTTATATAATCAGAAGCATTTTCAAAACTAGTTTGTTCCCTTACTGTTTCACAAAACACAAAATCAAAACCCAACTTAACAAAAGAGTATATCTCATAATAAACATTACCTGAAWCTTGCTAAATAGATTTTCTGTCCAACCAGGATACTCAAAGCACTTTACACTCTGTGTCCTCATTTATCCATCACTGTATCTCTCTACAAATCAATCTATAAAGACTAATCAGTGTTTTAAATCACATTCATACACTGATTGGACACACATTAGAGGCAGTGGGGGTTCAAGGGGCCCTCGCCCAGACATGGGTCACCGAGGCCCCACTCTGGAGCCAGGCCTGGAGGTGGGGCATGTTGGCGAGTGCCTGGTGGCCGGACTTTCACCCATGGAGCCCGGTCGGGCACAGCCCAAAGAGGAGACATGGGTCCCCCTTCCCATGGGCTCACCACCTGTGGGAGGGGACGTAGGGGTCGGATGCCATGTGTGCTGGGCAGTGGTCGAGGGCGAGGACCTTGGCGGTCCGATCCTCRGCTACAGAAGCTGGCTCTAGGCACGTGGAATGTCACTCTGGTGGGGAAGGAGCCTGAGCAGTGTGTGAGGTTGAGAGGTTCTGACAAGATATAATTGGACTCACCTCAATGCACTGCTCTGGCTCTGGAACCAGTCTCCTCGAGAGRGGTTGGACACTCTTCCACTCTGGATTTGCCCATGCTGAAGAGGCGCCCAACAGGAGTGGGCATACTTATTGCCCCCCATCTTGGTGCCTGTACATTAGGGTTCACCCCGGTGAACGAGAGGGTAGCCTCCCTTCACCTACGGGTGGGGGGACGGGTCCTGACTGTTGTTTGTGCCTGTGCGCCTAACAGCAGTTCAAATTACCCACCCTTTTTGGAGTCCTTGGAGGGGGTGCTGGAGAGCGCTCCTAACGGGCACTCCCTCGTTCTGGGGGCTTCAACGCTCACGTGGGCAATAACAGCGAGACCTGGAGAGGCGTGACTGGGAGGAACCCTCCCCCCCATCTGATCTGAACCCGAGCGTTTTGTTATTGGACTTCTGTGCTCGTCATGGATGCTGTCAGGCTGAAGAAGGAGTCCTATCTGGTCTTTTTGGCCTGTGGGCTCCCGGAAGCAGCCAATAGGTATCAGCAGTCCAAGCGGGTAGCGACTCGAGTGGTCGCTGAAGCAAAAACTTGAGTGTGGGAAGAGTTCAGAGAGGCCATGGAAAAAGACTTCCGTACGGCTTCGAGGCGATTCTGGTCCGCCATCCGGCATCTCAGGGGAGAAAAGCAGT